CCTCATTCCGCGACTGAGTCCTCCCTCCAAGACCCACCCTCGTGACACCAATAATGATTATAATAATAATAATGCCATTTTAATCAATCAGATTCCACACTGTAAATGTACCTCAAAGAAATGAACTCGATCTCTTCTTTGCAAGGGGGGAAGTCCAGTTCAAATTTCTTTTCTGCCACATTGATTTTGGCAGAAAGTTTCCATGGCAGGGCAATCGGGACTTTGTTCTTCAACTCAGAGCCACACTGGAACAACTCTGTGCTGATCCCATAGAAAACCCAATAGTCTTTGGTGACACTAAAAAAGGAATGAAACAGCACGAAATAACATTAAACTAAATAAAACAACATTAAACTAAATAAATAAATACATAAAACAAAATAAATGTTAATTCAATGACACCTGGAAGTTAAAAAAAGGAAGAAAAAACAATGCTATCACACCCTGTCCTCTTAAATGATAAGATGAGGCGATTGTAGCCTCAAGAAATGTTAAATAAAATAAAAGTTAACAGATGTATTATGTCAAACAGGTCAACATTCAAAGTGCTAATTTTAAGCTGATAAAAGATCAGTATAACTCATTCTCAGTCTCATTTTTAGACTAATAAAAGAACAGGAAATCTCAGTCTCAGGCCGCTTCATTGAAAGAAATTGAAAAGAATGTTTACAACGCTTTAAATGCCAGCGCAATTTGTCTGTTGTTGTTTAACACTCTGTCATTTTTCTTGTAAATTTAATAATGCATAAGATTACCCAGCAAAACCATCCGTGTCTAATGTAATATCAGATGTAAGTAGCTGTCCAAGGTGTTCAGTTGGGAGTGGATTTACTGCAGCTTTAGCTGAAAAGGAAAAGAAAACATCATTCAAAATGTGTTTGTTTTTTTGTCGGAAAAGAAATCAAGAGCTCATAATTTTTTTTAGTATTTTCACACTCTGTATCTGTTGATTCCTCACCATTAACAGTTATGGCTGTGAGGGAATTATAGTATTTGGTGATCTCCACTGGGAGACCTAGAGATGTAGCTTGAAAGTAACGAGCCTCAAGGACCAAGAATGCACGTGTGTAGTGCCATGAAGTTCCTCTCTGCAAATTCTCAATCGCGGCCCACAGAGGAGTCTTTTTCCCTGCAGATGGACTGATGGCCTGCAAGTCACATCAAAGTTCCATGATTTTGTGATCACATTTATGCATCAGATGTAGGGTCATATTGTTTGTGTGGGAGTTTTTTAAAAATGTTTTAATTGATATTTTGTCTCACCATCATGATATTTCGAATTACTTCTTTACTGATGTCAGCGAAGAACCACTCCTGGCCAGAGGCACGCGAATAAGCTGAAAAGGCAGGCTTATCGTTGGGCAGAATCTCCCAGTTCTTCAGCTGAAAAAGGAAAAAGCACAGATGCCACATTGAATACTCAGCATATTACTTTGGAGAACTTGGCTGTGAGGTGTCAGTTTATCGCTCACCATATTGAAAACAGTCTGAAAGTTGCTAAGGGTAAGATTTCCCTGAAATCCAGGGTTACTCCTGGTAAATAGCTCCTTCAGTCCATCTGCACGCATACCCAACTTAAATGAGAAGAAATCAAGAGGATTACTTCTTGCGATTGGAAATCTAAACTGAATTTGCATGCCTTAGTGGCAATTCTTTACACTGCACCTCCAGTAATTGCACAATTCTACCAATGAAGTGAAATTTTCCCTTGGTCATGATTTCAGTGGGAAACATGCTAGCTGCACTCCTAAGCATGAATAATTCTGAAGTCGTTCCAGCAAGGAAATCATCTATATGGGAAAAATACAGAAAAAGGAGTTACATTTGATGTAATGCTTTGATCTCTAAAAAAATAAATAAATAAATTGAAACAGGTTTGTGCTTTTTTTTTTAACATACCATTAAACCAGTCCATGTGCATTGCTTTACTGTAATGATAGCTTAGGCGACCAAATTTAGGGGCGAGGATTTTCACAGCCAGGCTGGAGGCAATCGAGCTGCACGAAGGCCCAAGAAGAAGAAGAAGAAGAAGAAAAACAAAAACCTCTGTTACCGTGTCATGTTCGCTTTCTAATATCGCGCTGATCGCTTCACTCACACAAAGTGATTGTCCGGAGTTCTAGACTGAGCCAAACTCTGCAAGTAAGAATATGCAAAGCTAGATACATGAAGGTCTTTTTCCTCCAGGAGATGTGTTGTCACTGTAGATACAAGAGCCATTGATGGCTTTGTCTCAAAGAGAATCATAAAGGCCAGCATGCGTATATCTGTTGAAACCTTCTTCTGCAGGAACACACTCAGAGTGATATCCTGGACCTGAAAGAAAGAACATGTACAGAAATCAGGACAAGTTGAGAAAATGAGGACCTAAACTCACACTTTTAGGTGCAACCATGTATAATCATGTATAATAATGTGTCGTATATTTATTTTTCGTGTGTGGGGGGATCACATCAAGGCCAAACTCAGCTGTGGTTTGTTAAGTCTTACACTGTGGGGGTCTCTTTGAGCGATGAGTCTCATAGCCTGCACGGCAGCGCTCTGCACACGGGCGGGCAGTTCTACAGGGGTGGCAGCAACTCCGGGGAGGAACCGCATGATGGTCTTGATGCTGCCCGGATGACCGGCGTTCCCGAGACCTTTCAGAGCGACCACCATCTCCTCCTTGTTGCCGCTCCTCAGTGCCTCCTGGGCCATTTCCAGCAGTGGCTAGTGTGGATTTAATATACGTGTGAGGCTCATATAAATAGAAAGCTTACGTTTCTTTTTTTTCTAGTTGAGGAAAAGTTTTTAGTGTCTCTACCTGAATTGCAGTTGTCGGACACGGCGTGTAATATGAACAGTGTTTGTACACCAGTGAGCCATAAGAAAGAACCACACTCTGCCACACATAGGTGTCTGATTTACTGAAAGGCATCCCAAAAAAGACCTGGAAGAGACAAACATATAGGCATTTTGCGTCATACGAGTAGAGGCACAGTGTTGTTTCTTCAGACGACCAACTGTTCTCCATTTGGAAAGTAACTCACTTTAGCCATCTCAACCAGTTCAGGAAGAGCCTTGAGATGTTCAAAAACCATAAGGACGGTCTGCCAGGCTTCAGTTGGAGACAAATCTCTTGCTTTAAATCTATTTTCCAGGAATTTAAGGACTCTGGCATCGCCAATTTCAACAATCACGTCTAAAAACCAACGTCTGAAATGAAAAAAAAACAAAGATTTTTTAAATATCAAAGCAGCACTGAAGATAATGCTCCTTTTTAAGTTAAAGGAAGCAGTATATTATATATGATTTTAAGGTGACTTGCCACTGATTTAAATAAATATACTGATTAAAATAAATATAGAAAGATATTTTTTCTCATTTTTTCAGTCTTCACATGATACTAAATCAAAACAATCAATCACTATCAGACTGAATTCCTATTTTTATGACTCAATCAGCAGATTTTGATCAGTATTACTTCTCAATGAGCCCGGGGTGTGTCTTATCTGTCTTCTGAATCTGTTTAAAAACATATGTTTAGAGTTTATGGGTGTTAATTTTTCACTAGTGAGTTTAATGTTCTCCAAGATTTGTTGATCTATCTAAAAGCAGTTATCATTCTATGTAGTCAGGTAATTCCGCATAACTCTAAATGTTGATGGAAGTCTGATCAGGATGTCATCTTTGCGGTGACATTTAGGTGCTCATTCACATCACTAACTGTCACACAAGTAATTAACAAGCCCAAGCTATTATGATTATTAATTATTATTATTATTATCATTATTATCATGAACAACCTCCAAACACTATTGACATTTTTTAAGCTATGACTGAATTGCTTGACATCTAAATCTTTTAATGCACATGTATTTTATCCATCAATCTTGTAAGATTATTGCTTAATCGCTCATAGTCATAATAACCGGTATGTTACCCTCCAACTGACTTAAATTTGTCAATCAAACCAAAAGCCGACAAAATGTCAGTCTACTTTAGACAGTGTGAAATATGTATATTCTTCCCCTATTAGGTTCTTGCTTTGTCTGAGAAAAAAATAATCTCATAGTGTTTAACAAGGTAAACTCAGTACAAACAGACATAAGAAGATAAACAAGCTGTGATGCAACATAAGAGGCAATTACTGATGTCACTGAGACTATTGATAAAGACAAATAGTTGGAAAAATAGCAGTGAAATGTTAATTTTGTCTGTGCATATTAACACAGTAAATCTTCAATACACAAGCTAATAAAACATGTCTGACATTAACATTGCTGTTTGGAAAGCATGCTCTCACAGTCATTTTAGTAAGATGAGTAAGAATGGCTAGAGCGTCCTCTCCCGTGATCTACATAAATACCTGAGCTATGGCCGGAATTGAATGTGTAACCATTGTGCTCTTTTCACATACCTGTACTCTGGATTCCCTGAAAATTGCTTCCACATGGTATCCAGTCCTTCGGAGGGTATCAGCCGCATCAGCTGATACAGCTTCATGATTTCCTCTGTAGTTTTACTCTCAACGTGGTGAATGTTAGCTTCAGCCAGTCGCTTAATCAATTCAACAGCCTGTGGAGGGTCAAAGGTCACGCGCAACTTAACTCAACTTAAGTTTTAAAACGTTTTGAAGCAGGGAATCTAATTCATTTTATCGTGTCGGGGGGTAGTTTGAATTGCAACCCGTGTTACCTTTGTTTTAGGGTCCTCTACGTTCTGAAACATGATGGGAAATCTATTGTCCACATCTTCAAACTTATAAACAATGTTGCCTTTGCTTTCCATCGGCCCATAAGTGATGATGCTTGCCACATCGCTCACACTGAGCAGCTCCATTTCCTTCCTGCAAGAAAAACTCATTTAAAACACCTGACTTGAATAATACAGAGAGAGAGAGAGAGAGAGAGAGAGTTGTTTCGTGCTCTCACATGGCTTGCATCTTGAAAGAACCCCCCTTCACATTGAAGGCACTGAAGTGCTGCCTCTCCAAGCCGTGAGCTTTGGTAATGAGCCCTCCCTCTGCGGTCGGCTTGACTGTGTAAACATATCTCACCGTCGAAACGATAGATTCTCCTCTCTGGATGGGAAAAGGTGGACTTATATTAGTTTGCTTGATTCATAACCATGTCGGCTGTTTAAAAAAAGCCTACCTGTTTGGCCAGCTTGTCCACGACAGCGGTTGCCATTCCCGTGTACATGGCCGCTTTCTCCCTGCAGTTTGTGACGTCTACCACCTGAGTGATGTTCATTTCCTTTGTCTCCTCGTTTTCCTCTATGGCATAGTTACTTTGACACTTGCCATGGATTCCAATCTAGAAATATGATAACGCATTTCGAAAATTATTGGTGCATTTGCTCGTTCTGTGTGAAAAGGAGTGACTGAAATCGTCAGATTTACCTCCTCCAGCTCATAGATGTGCTGTGTGGTCTTCACAGTGACTTGAAAGAAACTGAGCATCCCTCTTACGATGTTGACAACGGTGGTAGAGATCTCCGCAGAGGCGTGGATGTCGCCGATGTGTCCGGCGCTGTATTCGAACAGGATGGGTTTGGCGAGCTGGGCCGCGATGCGTCTGGTGAGTTTTGGAGAAGCGTCGTAGCCGTTTTTCCCAGGGAAGCCGTTGTACTCGTAGAAGGCCAACTCTGAGACCTTTGGAGGCAGAAACAAAAGCAAGCAGGGTTAGTTACTCTTTTAAAACATTAATGGGTGCTTTTTAAAACATCAAAAAATAAAATAAAAGCTCCTGTGTTCACCAACGTGGATTTAATATGAATTTCAAGACCCTGTTTAGTCAGCAGTTTAATACATAAATGCGTGTTTAAAGACAAATGACCAAACCTCACATGAACTCTTAAGAGGTATTTGATAATCCCTAAACTGTAGTGAAAGTGGATTGTGTCTGTCTATTGTATTTTCTTATGCATGTGGTGACAAAAAGAGAGGTCAGGTCCTTTTGCAGAGGTCCCTCTATCGTACCTGAAGGAGAAACATTTTCTCTGACACTCCTGTGATCTTGGCTCTGCACGTTATTCTCACGCCAGACTCTGCGAGGTTTGGCATGCCAAGTCCGAAGTTCACCACTCCCTCATACTTGTACTCGTACGTTTTCTTGGGGTTAAGGCTGACATCTGCGAGATGATGACATTGAAAATGATCCCTTCATGACATGGGAAACGCACAACATTTTCTCTTTGATTATGACGTTGCAGTCAAAACTCACCGTATCGAAGACTTTGGCTTGCTATAAAATTCAAAGTCAAAGGAAGTGAAAGCGTTAAAAACTGGGCATTTTTCATCTGACAGTGTTTATGAACAGTGTTAGTCTCAATCTTCTTAGTCTTCCTGAAATTCTCAAATGACAACATGCAAAATAACAGAAAACATTTAATGTAGTATAAATAAAGACTTACATTCACATTTGTCTCATTAATGGGAAATGTTTTAAATCAATTGTTCATGTTACATCTATCAGCCTATACAAAGCTTATACAAAGTTATTTTAGGAAAAAATACCTCTTCTGATCCTGCAATTGCCACCATGGAAAATAACATTTCTAGGAGGAAAAAGAACTGTGAAAACTTACCAGCCAAAGCCACAAGGCAGCAAATGAGGAGACCGCGCATCGTGAAATGGCAAGTGAGAAGTGTTTTTGATTTGTCCTTTTATATGACCAGGATTTCATTTCACATTCAGCCTTGAGAAGAGGTCAAATGTTTCATTTGAACTGCTTACTTAGATTAAGTAAACACAGGCGTTCTGAGGTAAAGCCATGTTGACCTGTATCACAGTCAGAGTGACAGTAGATGTGAAAGATAAGTCAGTCTGAGTGGCTGTGGTTTGTCCATAAATGTAGAACAAAATCATTTAAAATGAGAAAAAAACAGAGGTATACACACACACACACATATATATATATATATATATATATATATATGCTCTTGGTGTGCCTCCATTTTTGAAAGAGCATGACAATGTCAGAGTTCTGTAAAAAAAAAAAGGGAGAAAAGTGTTTTTTATACTTTTACAATAATGGTATAAACACAGAATTATTCAACTTAATGAACATCAGAGTTAAAAAGGAATTTTAATCTCTCTCTCAGAGAGGTAAAGATCCTTTTCGCTCCTTAATGCAGGGTAAATCCAATTGAATCCACATCTATTCCCCCAGTAAAGCAGCTAGATGTAGCAAAAGAAGAGACGCTAAAAAGCTGGCATTGCAAAACCGTCCTTTTGGATGAAAAACACAGTATAGGGATTCAGTGATCTTCATGCCCACTTTGAAAGTGTGTCGTGGCTTAAAGAGCTTTACAAATGGCACTTTTGAAAAGGGAGGTTTGAGGGATGATGACATCAAGAGGCAACCATCTTATGTTTTTGTTCTTGCTGTCTATTAGGATTACATTCACACAGCACAACACAGGAGCAATCATACGTTGGGGATTCTCTCAGATATCATAGCCCATTAGTTTTTAAACTCTAAACAACCTGGTGATCCAATTTCCCTTTTAGGTTTTAATATAAAATTAGCCAATAGATGGCACTGTCATGTCCTTTTTGTCCCTGAAAGTGCGAACCTTGAACCGATGAAATATATCAAGACAAAAAACAGAGGGATGAAAGTTTTTTCATCATAATCATCTACAATTTTTTTGGGGTAAATTTCAGGTGTATTTTCTGGGACAGGATGCAAATGTCTTTTTTTTGTCCCATAGCTTGAATTTACTGTAATCAATACAGAAGTATTTTTAAAAATATTCTAACATTTTAACTAGATGTATATTATTTTATCAATAAAGAAGCACGTGCCTCTGTGCACATGTTTGTGGGTTTGTGGGAAAAAATTTACCTTATAGATTTAGATTAATATGCAGGTTTAAGGTAGAAAGGATGACCAACCAAATATCAGTAATCAAAATGTACTAACCACCGAAACCTCTTTGTCCTTACATGAGGGTGTTCCATTTTTGCCCCTCTGTTCTATAATACTTAATTTATTTTCAACTTGTCCAATTGGCCTTGTAGTTACCCTATCAGGCACCAAAGTTTGAAATCTACAAGAAAATAGTTTTACTAGTTTTTTTTTTTTTGTTTAATTCAAATATTGGATTGAAGTCATTTGGATCTTTAGACCCAAATAGCAAAGAAATATAAACATACATAAACAAAAACTTATTGGGCCGAATAGATCTCATATATCTTGGAGAAAGCAGGAATGAAAGTCTTGGTTCCCATGAGGTAAAAAATCCAATGCTGTGCAGGTGTTTCACAGCCCAATGGCATACATTCAGTGGCTCCATGAAATATTTCATGAGTTGAATCCATCGACATAAAATATCCTGTTGTTCAGTGGTGGTTGGGAAATTCCTAATTTTGTCCACTAGATGGAGCTATTGGTCTATTGTAATTACCGTTCATTGTTCTAACCTCTCTGTTCTATCCACAGTAGGATGTTAAAGAATGTATCAAAGAAGAACATCTATTTTGCACACAAAAGACGCCAGCAGCATAAATGTCTGTTGGTTATTTCACAATTAGTTTAATAATTTACAAATCAATTTCAAACACAAGAAAGCAAAAACTGTCATTGCAAAGACTTTGAAAAGAAATATATACTTATACAAACACACATAGACATATGTACAATTACGTACATGTATGTCTGTATATGTATGTACGTACAAACAACATGTATATGTTGTAGTGAAAGAGTTGACACAGTTTTTTTTCTTTTTGGGCTATAAAATGCAGGAAACAAGATTGACTACATTCTTCAAGGGTTTTTTGAAAGAAAATACAACCTGATATTTTTATGTTTATCAAACCTTTGTATTCAATGTGTACCCCCATCCCCTTAAAAAGAGAGAAAAAAAGTCAAAGCATGAGTCACAGAATATTGCAAATCTGTACTGTAGACTACTATTGTACAAGTGCAGATGGTTGAGCTTCAGCTGAAATAATTCATCTTAGGCATTCAAAACAACAGGGTACGTTTTTGAAAAGCCTGTAGTATTCCTCTTGGATCTGGAAAAAGACAGAGAAGGGAAAATAATAAGATGCTGATAACTGAAGTGTTTGAATAAAAAATCATACAAGATCACATTAAAGTAGATTAAACATGTCATCATTTTTACAATTTGGTATCATGCTTGTATTAATATGTACTAATGCATAATTAAGATTTTGTTTAAGTCTTATTTTTACATAATACTAAGCAATATAATATCAATTATGTAGTCTGTCATCATAAGGAGTTTGTACTTTAGTCCAAACCATTACATGGCAACAAACGGGCAGCTTCATTGAAAACCTATTTTATACAAATAAACTGTTTATTTGCAAAACTTGAAGAGATAATATCAACCACATGCACGTATTAAAAACAGAAAAAAAAAAAAAGGAAAACAGATCAAAGAATAAACGCACCCACAAGAAGAGTTAAAAAAAATACATGGATAGATTGTGAAATACTGTACCAAATACGGGGGTTTCTCAACATTACCTTTCTGGACAGCACACAGAGGAAGATAAAAATGAACATTCCCTGGAAGGCGTTGGTGATGGTGAACAGATAAGCCGTGAGGGTCGTCTCGTTGAGAATGTGCAGCACCCCGAAAGTCCAGGTCGCGCCCAGCACGAAAAGCAGAGCCAGGGCACCTCGAGCACAGGACCTGAGGGGAATAATACCCACTCAGTTCCCACATTGTGGAGCGCACTTCTTTTTTTTTTTTAGAGCCAACAAGGGCCTACTTTGTAATTTAAAACTGCAAAGACATCACGTATTATCTTAATTCGGAATCCAGATAAGGGACTTATTAGCTGACCCTTAATGTTGTTTTGACCCACCCACAAAGGAATTGAGCTAATCATACCTGATGTTTTCATAGTGGCTGATTTCAGGCTTTTTCACAGCCGTGTGACGGTACACCTTGTAGATGATTACTCCAAAGGCCAAGAGATTAACCTTCAGTCGGGATCGAGCAAGACAAACACAACATACAAGACTTAATGAATATTTTATCTCCAAAACAATTTTTGTTTGCTAAGTTTGTGTTTTGAAATGGTCAATATATTACTAGGATGATCAAACATGCGGGTCCAATGAAGCTCCAGATGAAGTTATTTTCCGTGCTGAGCCAACACCTGAAAAAGAATGAATAAACATTAATATCGTTAGTGTTCATAGTTTAGCTTTTCTCATGTCAACAACAACAATAAGCTACAGCAAACTTTAGGTGTTACTTTTTTTTATTCGATGGGGAAAAAGGTTAGAAAAACATTCTCCTCTAATATTAATGAACAATCAGGTCCTCTTTTAAACAACCTCTCACTTCTAATTGTATTTTACGCAAATAAAACACAGGATAGGGTTGTGCAGAAGTGTCTGTTCAGACTCCCTGTAGTATGCAAAATATTCCCACTTATTTTCTGCATTTTTTTTAATAAACTCAGTTAATTAACTTGCAATCTGACAGACAGTTCTTCCTTTATGTCCCTGCAGGCCAAATTTAATCTGTCCCCTTGTACTCATAATTAATATTATGTGTTTATCTTGCTTTCTGAGAATTGCTGAATGAGTTTGAAAAGAAGTGAAAGTCAGGTCTTTGTTGCCCCACATTCTTACACCGAAAAGCAGCTGAACTGTTTTTCTCACGCTTACACTTTATCAGTGCCATAATACTGCGAGCCCAGTGTCGCTGAGATGGCCACCACCACAGCGGGACTCCCATAGCCAAAGATGTAAAAGTTTCGATGAAGAAAGCCTTTGTTGTAGATGACGCCGACCACTATCAAATACAGATGGATGCCCTCGATACACATCCAGGCAAAGGCTGCCAGGAAGAAATAGTGCAGCAGCCCGGCAATCACAGAGCAGAAAAGCTGCCAACAGACAATAGAAAAGAGGGGTTTTAATGTCTTTACATTTGGAAAATTGAAATTTTTTTAAATTTTCACATTTGCCACGTTTTGTTTTCATGTTCATAAAAATGTTCTTTGTTTTTATTGGGTCACATTCATCCTCACCTTGTGTGTGTTCATGTTGATCCCCACCAGGAAGATGAATTCGGCCATGAACAGGCTGCAGCACAGGTTCTTGTGGATGGTGGTTCTGGTGCTCTGGATCTCACTGAAGAACCAAAAGGTGAAGATGCACATGGACAAACAGATGAGGGATATGATCATCCCCAGCTGGGTGATCCGGGTCAGGATGGTATGGTGGGCCACCAACTGAGAAGTAAATGGAAAAGGAGGTGTTTCATTCACAGTTTCATGGTATGCTGGATTTGTAATTTGTTGTATTCGCTGCTTGGAGACATTTCATTTCACATTGATGGAGGCTGAAGGTTACCCTACAATAATGGCATTTAGGCATCCTGGATTTGCACTGATGGTCTGTTTCTCTCATTTATTCATTTGACAATGTGTATCATGATTTTTTTTGTAAACCCAACAAAATCATAAAAACCAGTCATTTTTGTAAACTGTCAGCTGAATGCTCTTTAGCTGGTCTCTGTTTTGAATATCAGGTGCTGTAGAAGAAAAAAAAAAACTAAAGTAATAGTTTGGAAAATATAAAACAGGACAATAATGTAAATCTGCCATAACCAGAAAAAAAAAATACCGAAAAACATCTGGTCTTTAAATACCAATTGAAAAAAAGAGTTAAAACAGAGGAAAATAGCCCCAAAAAATCACCAATTTTGATGGGTCATTGGTGAGGTGTTTGTTTTTAATTATTTCAATGCAGATTTTTTGGGCCCTCTAACGTATTGTAAAATAGAGCTGAGCTGTAAAGTTACACTCCTCTGAAATAAATCTGAAATATCAAAGATTTGCAAAACTTTGAAGGGGTGGGGGCTGATCTCTTACGTTGGCTCGCCCCGATGACATGAGGATGGCGAAGTGTGTGAGGTGGGTGCAGGAGCAGGTGGTTGCGTTGCTGCTGACGTGCAGCGCCTTGCAGCCGTGGGTGGCCCAGCGGCCCTGCAGGCTCTCCGCCTCGTACTCCCAGAAGGCGCACTTGGTCACGTCGGCTTGAGTATCGACGGGCTTAATAGGAGGAAGGAGGAACGCACAAAGCCTGTTAGGACTCCAGACAGGGCTGTCTTGATTCATTTTCGAAAAATGCGGGGCGTTGCGGTGCCACATCAGGTGGGAAGTCATAACTGATTGTACACATCTCATCAAAACAGCAGGGGCAATAAGCTGAACACAGCTAAACAATACCTTATTCGTCCCAATGGGAAATTAGACCACTGCAGCATATTTTACTTGTAAACCGACCGTCACCGTGAGGTAGGGAGCAGCAAGGTTTTTCTTTATCTTATCTTTACTTTTTCCAGTCCAGTTGACATGGTGCGCTCCCATTACCCCCACGCACCTGCTCTTATTGCATCCAATTTGTTTTATTGTGATTTGATGATTGCAATTTTTTTAACTGAATAAAGAAAAATAATTCACCCTATTTAAGACTTTTTGCATTTCAAAATATCTACATGAACAGAGTGTTGTATGGAAACTACAACAAAGGTACAAGCAAGAATAGAGAAAAAATAACAAAAAAAATGCCAGAATTATTACTTGTTTCTGTTTAAAGGCTTCCAAAAGGTTTCTTAAAGGTTAATTGTGCTTAAAGGTTTTTTTCTTTAAGCACAATCGTCGTGGTCAGGATAAATTGTGACTTCTTTTGTTTGGCTTAAACCTCAAGTGTCTCACAAAAATAGCGGGAGTGGGTTCTGGAACAAGGAAGTTATTTCTTGTAGAAAAAAAGAGCACAAAATTCAGACACTGGTGAGCAGTGTGTGAGAGAGAACCAAATTAAAGGCCCTTTGCTCATGTTGAATGACTTTCAGAAAGTTCGGTTGTCACTTTAAAGCAGAGCAGAAGTGAAGCTGGGAGTGTATTTGTGGAGAAATTATCAGGGAAGGAGGCCCTGAGCACAAACAAGCAGAGGGGTTTCATGCCTCAGGTAAAACAGCAAGACACTCAAACTTAATGAGAGGTGAAATGTCTTTCTGCGATTATTGTGTCTGGCTGTGCGGTTGTCGTGACACTCTCTTACAGTTTTGCGTCTCTGTGGGCTTTTTGTGTCTTTTTCTATTTTTTTGTGAATGTTTCACATACCCTTGTTGTTTTGCACTTTCTGTTCTTTTCCCTTCTTTTGGCCAATTTATTTTGTTGTCACTTTTTGTCACTCTTTAGCTAAGCATGGCTCCTGCCTTTTTTTTTAAATTCCGTCCCTGATGCTTTACATTACTTTGCCATTGTTTGTTGGTCTTTGTGTCTGTTTTACCACTCACTGTGCCCCTGGTAGACACATTCAGTAATCCATCCATGCCTGCGCTGTCTCCGCTTTGCATGTCAAAAACAAAATAACGAGCAAAATGCCATTTTAAAATGCTGCCAGGAACCAGAGCAAAATGACTTTGATATGATTTTGAGTCAAAATATGCTCCAAAATTAATTGAGAATAGCTTACGAGCCATGATGAAAATGTGTCTTTGTCTCTGAAATAGAACCCGGGGGCACACATTTTGAAGAAATGCAGTATTTTGTGTGGCAGGCGTGAATCATAGCGCTGCCTCAGCACTCTATAAAGTCCGTACCTCATTGTGTCTCAGAGTAAAAGTGACATGGTCAAGTTGGTAGACGTCAGCAGGTTTGACGGCGGCCGCTATGACTTGGGAGTTGACCGTGATTTCCCCTGTTCCTGCGTAGCGCGAGTAGTCCGTGACACCTGGGTCGCTGCTGGGCTTCAGGATGTCACTGATGCTGTCATATCGCACAAACACCACTGACACACTTCCTGATGGACAAAGGAAGCCAGACTTACAGGCGTGCTGATCAAGCTTTCGGTAAAGCCCAGTGAGTCAGAGAACATGCGGTTTTATAAGACCACATCGGTCATAAGTGGGATCATGGAACAAAACTGATGAAGTTTAGAACTGACAAAGATCAAATAGCCTTCCCCAAGATTTTTTTTCATAAAGAGTTTGTGAAAATGATTTGTTTAGCTTGTATATGGAACATAATTGAGATATAAAAATGACTTCTTGGGGGAGTTCTTGTTAATGTAAACCACTTTACCATTTCTCTCCTCCTCTGGTCTCAGTTTGGGTGTTAGATTTATATGATCTCCTCCCATGGAAACAGACAGTTTGGTTTTCGTTTGCGCTTCAAAGGTAAACAGTTTCAGTTCTGTGGATCAGTATGGGGACAAAAATAGCAAAATCAGAAATTACAAGTTTTAAAAGTTCCCGTACAAACGTCGTAAAAAGACGTTGAACATCCTGACAAAAGAAGGAGAAAACGATTATCTCACCCATTTCTGTGGATTTGATTTCAAGCTCAGCCGGTGTTTTGTAGTTTCTCCCCAACGACAGAGCACTTTCTTCCACCACATGGAGCAGCTTGGTGATGGTGTGTTCACGACGCTCGTCTTTTATTCTTCTCCAAGCCACCAGTTCATCCTTCTCCACCAGGTTGTTCACCGCTTTCACTAATTTCTATTTGGCAGGAATTTTAGAGCTTAAAACACATTTTTTTCATTTTCACTTGCATTCAGAATACATTTAATCAGGATATCGTACTGTATTCTGAATCAAAGTCATATCAGACTGTACAGAGGGCATGCAGACTGCTTTTAGCACCAGTAGATTTTCGTTTTTTTTTACAAGTTCAAAGCACAACTGAGCTTTGAATGTTGACTTAGAAATGTCAATGGTAAACACAGCCTACTGAAAGAGTTGAGTTGATGGCAGATGGTTTGACAGCGTAATCCCTCTCTCCAGCAGCCAGCGTTGATGCAGATCGGCTCAAGGCCTCAACATATGCGATCACTTCCACTGAGGTAAGTTCACCAGATGTCTGCTTGGCAATTTCTTTCAATAGACTCTGTGGCTCCGTGAGGTTGCTCATCTATTAGGGGGGGAGAAAAAAATCATTTATTTTATGGTACTGATTGACTCTTGTTTTCATTTCTCCTTAAACACTTCATATGTATTCAGTTGTGTTGCATCCTGATTATGAGCTATCCTGAAAAAAACAACGTATTGCTCATTTGGATCCGGTCCACATCTGAATTAGAATCAGCTGGGATTCAAACATCCTTGAGAGCTGCATGAAATGCACTTTGAACACCACGTACCTAATTTCTGTGCTCATTCAAACAAAGTGCAACAAAACAGACAATCAAATCAGAATTATAACATCATTTTAAAAAGTTTTTTCCCCGAAGTTCCATCAAACTGTTGAGTGGAACAAGTATTTATTGCTTCATAGAGGATAAAAATGGAAATGTATGAACCATCCTCCCAGCGGAAAACTTCTAGGACATCTTAAAAAGAGCAGCTCTGTAACTGATGGAGAAGAAGAAACCGCGCTTAGTGCTACAATGCATGTTCAACTTATGCACATAAATACTAGAAATAAACATAAATAATAGATTTACAATGTCACTGTTCCAAAAGCAGATCATCTAGTTTATAACATCAATGTATTGCCCTCGTGTTTCACTGAATTTGGAATGGAGGAGAAAACATACACGAATCAGATTGGTTCTGAACTCAGATCTCATTCCTCAGCCCTCTAACATCTTGAACAGAACTTTGTGACAGGTTTGGATAGACACACTCCAGTGATGTCAAGATCATATCTGTTTCCAATACAGACACTTTGTCCATGGGGCTGTCGCAATTTTGAAAATATAACAGATTACTATTTGTCAGGCAGATAAATGTGATTAATTCATGTTAATTTCTGACTGCTATTGTACCATAAGCCAAATAATAATTTCACTGTTTACTCAACGGTTACATGGAAAGAAAAACAGCTGCTTATCGGGGATGAATACTTTTAGGCTTTAGAAAAAGATACAACTGCAGCAGAAGAGAGGGGGAGTGTCAACCAGATGGCATCAAATAATGTGGTAATATCACACTTGTGTCGGGCTCACCCTGCTGTTTTCAAACACGTGAATGAGAATGATTGTGCCAATCATCCCACCGCGATTACATCTTTCTGATACAACGGAAATATAACAGAAAAAATGTTTAATTATGTGTGAATGTCTGAAACAATATCAACTTTGATATCACGTCAGGGAAATGAAAGTCAAATTCTCACTCTGAAACGGGCCAACGCAGGCTAAACTTTGTAACCCAGGGGACAGAGAAAATGGTGCTGCTTTTTCTTCTCTTGCCTGAGGCACGTGGTGGCACAAATAAAGGTCCTGAGCTCCATGTCAGCAACCAGAGGGACTGCAGGCGCTGTGCAGACCATAGACAGTGGTGCTGTGTGTGTTTGTCACTTTCTGCAATTTAGTATTCTGTCACTTCGCCGTCCACCCTGGAGTGTTAGTCTTCCCTTCCTCCAACAGGGGGCAGCATCATCATATCGAATTATGACCTTTCTGGAAGTGTTATACTTACATATTTGAGTGTTTTGTTGACGGCCTGTGTCATGCATCCGATGTTGTCATGGCAATACTTTTGTGGATGTTCTGTAAGACAAGCATTTCCCGAAGTAACTCAGAAAAAAGGTCGTCGCAAAGTGAGACAGGAGGCACAACATCAGACAATTCTATTTCTCACCAAAACTGGTTCAAACAAAATACCGTATCATATCCACAAAATGCTTAAAATGGCTATCTCTATGTTCTGGTAAAAATTAGGCTGAAACTTAAAAAAACACTGTATAAATTAATATATTTCTCTTAGAAGACCAGCAAGCATGTGTGAGTGTGTGCTGTCCTGTTCTCATACCAACCTTTGCATTGTACACCACTCTGTGGATGAAAAGTCTTAGTTCCTGAGGAGGGAACATAATCCCGCTGACAGGTGCAATAGTAAGATCCGTTTGTATTGTGGCAGTGAGAGTTTGGTCCACAGTTCTGCCCTGACTCGCATTCATCAATATCTAAAAGATCCAAAAGAAGACATCAGCTCCAATAGAAACATAACAATATAGACTTGTCTAAAATTTAACTGAATTAATACAGACAGAATCAATACAGAATCAATCATGCGTCTCAGTTATATTTCTGATAGTGAGCTTTTAAAAAAAATATATTTCAACACATTGCGTGGAATCTGAGAATTCACACATTTGAACATTCATATCTCAGCTGCTGCTGTTGGATACACAGAGGAAAACCTCAGCCTAAAGAAGGTTAAAGAAGATTAAGGTGCTGTTCATCTGGTGCAAAAAAGCAAAAAAAATCTAAGATTTCTTTTATAGATTAGGAAGAATGTAAAAGGTCAAAGGAACAAAATCCCCTATAACATATTCATTCTATTTTCACAGCAAGAGAGGAAACGGTTCACGCATTCACAGACCTGATGCCCTGTCGGCAGCCTTCAAACGGCCCTGACACACACTCATGTATGATACTTGGACTAAGATTCTCTCAGGGTGCTCCGAATCCCAGTGAGAGTCTTTTTTTACAGCCTCAATCAGACATTACCAATGCAATCAGTGCCATCGTTGGGCTGGAACTTGGGCTGTCCCGTGGATGTGTATCCAGAGACACATGTGCAGTAATAGTTGCCTGCTGTGTTGGTGCAGTTGCCCCTGTCCCCACAGATGGGAATGGTCACATTCTGGCACTCGTCGTCATCTGTGGTAAAATCATGGCGAGAGAAGAAAAAATCGTTGAGGACTGTGAAAAAGTATAAAATAGTGTTTCAAGTATAAAAAAAAAAATTAAAACTCAACACACACGATTGATTTCTGGTGACTGAGCTGGCCATTACATAAAGAAAAACAATCAACTAAAAATAGCCATGATTAAAATGCTTGAAATATGACCAAAATATTAGAGAATTTTTGGATACATTTAAAATAACTATTTTTTCTCCTTATTTTAATTACATTTTGTGTCAAGAAAATCCTTTTTTCTGTTAAATGTTAACATTTGTATTTTTATCTTTACTTCCCATGCTTTACTCCCTTTTGAGGTATCATTTTCCTGTACATTTGATGATTCTGCACATCTTTGTGGACAGGATATTGTTATCCAGTAATATAAGGAAGCCCATGTGCAGGTTCGCCAAATTTTAGGGATTTTCTCTAACCTCTGTCCTCTGATTGGAATACAATTGGCCAAGCTGAGTTATCAGCCCTGCCTCTTTAGAAATAAATTAACTTCTCTTTGAGCGTTGAACATTATTGCAAAATGCCTGGACTACAAAGGTCAGTTTTCTTTTAGACATTAAATCTCATGCAGTTGATCATCCAAATTCTTATTGTAGATTTTTCAGGTCACAGAGCCTCCAACGGGTCTTGGGTTTCTAATATACATTCAGCTCCCAGTTTTGGAACAGTTGTTTAGAGGGATTATTTTAAAATTGGTTTTACATACTAATCCAGTAAACCAATAGTCAGCACAGCATCTATCCAGACTCTTTAGATAATTCAGATATATTTTTATTTGTATGACTCTTTGTTGTTTTCCACAACGGCTATTTGAGGGTTAACTGCGCTTTATCCTGATTCTGGGCACCAATGTGCATTTAAACTGCTTGATGATGTGGTGTCGTTCTCGGCTCCACAAGGTTTGTCCAGACACAAGCCTTTGCCAGCAAACAGCAACTTCCATGCATTTTTAATCACTCACAACTGTGATTGTGGAGCAGTTGTTTAGCCTTTGTTGGATTTCGAGCCATTCGAACTTTTAAATATTTTGGAAATTGCTGCTCAGGTTAATGGAGCAGCAAATACAAAGCAGTTTGCTGCGGATGCTTGTGCGACTCACTCATTACAGAAACTGCCGCCTCAGCGTTGTTTTCAAACATGCAATCTTTCCCTGGTTCCTGGTTTATTGGAAATGACCTCAGAAGACTTTCCGCCATTATATTTGTTATTTATTTTTATATATTTTTTTGCTTATCTAGGTGTGATGGACACTGTGCTCTTCCACTCCTCTGTACCTTTTGCAATAAACTGCGTGGTAAGGGAAATCCTCTGCTCTGATGAGGGAGGGGACTATTTTCAAGGAGGAAATACCTTCATCAAAAAAATGATACCTGCCGTCTGTCTTGCATCTAAAGGTCATTTGGTAAATTTAATTTAGGTATTTATGTAAATTTCACATGGATTCGTCTAGGAAGATTAAATAATGGTGATTTCTCTCTTCTTCCCGTCTTATTTTTCTTGATTTTACTTCACAGAACTGGCGGCACGGTCTGATATTTGTACATGGGGACACAAGTCCTCAAAAGATACTTTCCCAAAGTGGACTTTTGAACCGCATGTTCCTGTTGCCCAAAATTACCCTACCCTGTTTTCATTACTCGGATTGTGATTTATTTTGGTCCTTGCTGCATGCAGAGCTGACTGCAATTGTGATCTGATTTGGTCAGGAAACAAAAAGGGTTTCAGGAATTCTAAACAGTTTCGAAACATAGCGGAGGCAACAATGCTGGCCCAATGAAATAGGTTGAATAAAGCTTTCCAGTGGAGACTTTTTTCACCTCACAATTTTTTCCTTATAATTGCGAAACATAGCTGCTCAAAACCTTTGTCAACAGTCCTTCAAACCGACCCCCCAGAAAGGAGAGACCAAGTGGTCTAAAGTTGTCCTTTGTGCTTTTACAGATTAATTTAACTGGACAATATGCTCTCAGACCTTTAAAAGGACCAAATTAATTATCAAATACAAGAATTAAAAACAGGAAGGATAACATTCTTCTTCCTTCCAGTAAATGATCAATTTACAACAACAAAAAAACATATAACCAGCAAATTTAGGTGCTTCAACACATCTTCGTAAATTCCTATTGTTTTTTGATCTTAAATCCAAGTTGCTATCGACTGTGAAACGTTAACTTGATCCCACATAAATGCAAATGCTGGCCTCAAAAAGTGTAGTGCTATGATGAGCTGTCAGAAACAACAAAGGCTTCCAAAAATAGTAAAGGCTTCCATGGCAGCTTCGTGCGAGGCTTGCTCGGCTGCAGCATCATTTTTTAAAAAGTGTGTGGGAGGGTTTGTGTGTCTGCATTCACCGTCACAAAATTTGGTTCCGTCTCCCGTATATCCATGGTTACAGAGGCAGATGTTGGTCCCATTCACGGCCTTGCATGTGGCGTCTTGGTGGCAAGAACTACAAATGTCAGCGAGGCTGCACGTGTCCATCAGACTCCAAAGCCATGCTGCAGAGACAAAATTAGTGGCACATCTACGATGAGCTTTACCCGTTTAGATTCCAAGGCATTTTGTTTTTCTTTAGTTCCTCTTTAAAACGTACCTTCGCTAAAGTGCAAAAAATATCACATTTCTAACATCTCTGAAAATGAGCAGACTCTGTCATGAGATCCAATTTAATTTCATGTAGCAGTACAAGAAAAATCACAATTAAAAACAGAATAGTTCACGGTTAAAAATGTCAAGCTCAAGTACACTTCCTTCCCAAACTAACATTAGCTAACTTTGGGGATTCCTGAGAATCAAATTCATATCATCACTCTCTACTCACGACGCCTGACACTCTATAATTGTCTATATATACTTAAGGAAGCTCACGTACCTGTAAAAAGCACAAGTTTCAGTGGCGACTTCACCAAAGTCTCCATACTTGTTCTGGGTCTGGATTATCCTTCCAGTGCTGAAAGCAGTGGGCTGGCTGGTGACGCAGTCCATTTCCTTGCATCAGTTTTCCTGTTTCCCTAAACCTGGCCCTTCCTGTCCCGATCTTTAATCTGCCTTCAAAAACACACAGCTTTGGCCCTTTTACCGACCACTCAGTAACATAAACCCATCTCAAATAACGTAAATTTGCTGTACATATAGAGTTACAGTTTTGGCTGTAGTCCATTACTTTTTAATGGAGCTGTTGCTGACTTGTGTCCCAGTTTTTTAACCTTTCACTTCATTGTTCTCCCTTGAACACACACAGAAGGGTATGTAAACACAGGCCAAAACAACACAGATGGAGTTCACTGAAGGACGACCCCCTCCCTTCCGCAAAAGGACGGTACACCAACTCACACACGCACACATTCCTGTGACCATCTTAGTGTTCCTTAGACAAAAGAGCAGAGATCTTTGATTCCTCCTGGCGAGCACTTCTGGATGAAAGTGAATAAAAAGCCTCTACATTTCAGTTTCTGCGCGCTTCCTTTTGTGTGTTGTCAGGGTTATTGTTGGTGTGTTAATGGGAAGAAACCAAAGTAAAAGAAATTATTGACTGTTGCTGGTCTGTTCTTATCAGCGACCAAATTGTCATTCATATTCAAAGAATATTTTCATTGATTTTTTCTTTAAAACTGTCTGGTTTTTCACATTTCCTCTCGAACAGCAATATATTGAAGATGCCATGTCCCATTTAGAAAGTACTGAAGTACTTTGAAGTTTGCTATTGTTTGCCTTTCCTTCCATGCTGCCTTAAAACACAACTTCTTTCGACGAGAACGGGCACAGTAATTGTGGTATTGTATAAAGATGGCAATGTAAACAGAATTTTGAGGCCCTTTGTCCTGTAGTCACATTCGGAGTGTGTCTTTGAATTTAGGTGATAAAGCAACACTTTCTATTTTGGGTTTTTTGACATCTGTCATGGGCTAATAACCCCATTCTCTGAGAGGAAAATGAGCAGGGTAGGTTTTTATTTGGGCTCCTGACCCACACACAACAAAGTTAGTTTTTTTTTTTCACTCTGCTCACTAAAAGCTGCTGCCTCTCATTTCAAAAGCAGATAATTACAGTTTTTCTTTTCCAGTACACCCATCAATACTTCAAATTGCTGTTTTAAAGTGGAATTCAACTGGCACAACAGAGCGAAAACAGGTGAATTCTCTAAATGTGAAACAGTAACAACAGTGGAACGGGAAAAGTAGCCATTCAGGTGTAGCTGAGGTCTTTTTAAAGCACCTTCCACTCTTTGGCACACAAACACATTCATTGATGAATAGTTTAACTTGAAAGATAAGTTCTTTGTTGGGTGCATTGCAATCTGTGGAGGCGGTTTGAATTGCTTAGGCAAGGCGTTCAGTTTATTGCTGAGAAAAGCAGCTGCTTTGAATGACACCATTAGAATTGCTCTGCTTTACTGTCCTGGGAAAGTGCTGGGTGAAAACCACATTTGAATGTCTCGCTCTGACACTCTCCTGACGGTAAGGAAGGAAGTGAAGCTGCCTAGAACAAACCTGGACTGATTGCACCCTTCCTCCTCCGCTTATCATGCTTTTTTTTTTCATGCAGGAATTTTACATTTGCAGAGAAATTCGTAAAGCCCACAGGAGCTTGCTTACTCCACAATGACATTGTACGACACCAAACAAAAAAAGATTGCCGCAAATGTGTGGAGGCTGTCTTGTGTAAATGTTTCCTTTCCCCTCGCTTGGATATGGAAATCCTGATTCTACAGGTGCAGAATTTTTGCTTGCGTTTTGCTGTGCGTGCGTTTGAGCAAAAGAAAAGAGTTGTTTATGCCATTCAGCCAATATTGAGATCTGAAATACAGAGTACAGTGGGGAAACTATTTCGACATGTTTCACACGTGCGTTCGATGTTGGCCTTATGCTCCGCCATGATAGGAGGACTAAATGCAGGGGCACAGATGGCGGTTACTGTTTCACAAGCTAGGAACTCTTGAATATTTCAGTGCACAAGGCAGGGGAGACAAAGTATGCTTTAGACTTGGGTTCACAGATGTCAGCCGGTGTGTGTTTGTGGATAACCTGCCAACACTTACATCACAGTTAGATATGAAGTGAAAATGGGCCTTCAGAGGGAATACCTGTGCCAAAGCTAAAATAACATCTATCAGACATCATAAGAGTAGGCAGGAGTGACTTCAGTTTTGGTTGAAAATGAGATTTAGTCATTTTTGTTAGTCAGCTTTTGGTCATGGGATGATAAGAGGATCAAGAATATCCTCTTATAAGGTCAACAAATCACTGGAATTTCAGAGGTCTTTTTACAAGCTACATGGTGGATCTATCAAAAAACTATAAATAACTTTAAAAGCATTTTGTCAGTGGGATTGTATTGGACAGGAGTTTTAGCAACCAAAGATGGGGCTGATCAGATTGATGTACTTCATATTTAATAACATGCATGTACAAACTCTGTCAGAATTCAGAAGGGACGTGGTTAAATTAACCAGGCGGGCTGGCCTTGTGGTCATCCTGAAGCTTGACAATAGAAATAATTTTATTCTCTGCTCTTGCTGTGGTGATACAACTGCCGATATCTTAATTTCCCTGAGGGAACTTTCCCAAAGGGATCAATAAAGTTCCAATCTAATCTGATCCAACAATTTCGTGACATAAGTAAATCCAGTGTACAATAATTGCCATCAAAACAAGTTTTTCAAATAGAATGTTTGACTGTTAAAGGATTGAATGCAAAAATATTTCAACAAGGAAAATGTGGATAACACACTAAGTATTGAATATATGCAACAAACAGAAACACTGGTTAAACACTGGGTTGTGTATTGTGTGAATAGCGACAACAGACTTACTGACATACAAAACAAAACACAGGATGTCTATCAATCATTATAAAATCCATACTGACCCCATATGAGTAGATACCAGTATGATATGACTGTGACATTTTGTAAATGAACATTTTATGTTACTTGTTGGAGGTTCAAAAGTAGGACATCACACTCAATCAAACATAATTGAAAATTGTTAGTTTAAAAAAAGGTAAATGTAAGGTTTAGTGGGATTTTGTGTGTTTTATTGGAGGGAGATGGAATCTGTAAAGTAATCCATCAAACTAACATGTAAAGTCGCTGTTATAAGCCATAACCTTTTCCTGTAACTCAAACCATTCAGTTTCCAATCCACCACCTTAAACTATTTGTGTTTGGTAATATACCAATGAAACATTCAGAAAAAGATTTAGTCTAAGAGCCCTTGAAAAGTCATCTGAAAACACGTGTCCATAAAATGTGTGACGCATCATCCATTCAGCCGCCTCCCAGACAAAAAAAGTTACAAATTTTAACTCATAATTGGAACTCTGTGGGCTTAAAGACTCAGAAATATCACAAAAAATGCTGTATTTTCTCCTGGTTTAAGACTCTGAAGAAAAAGAGTTACTTTCAGAACCAACTGAACTTGTTGAAATCCACCATCAAGTCTATTAAAGACAACAAGGAGCTTTTGTGTTATTTCATTATCTAATTAATACAAACTGACACCAAACTCTCCTTTTTTAAGATATTTCCAGTGATGATTAGCAGTGCCACTTTTTTCATTTAGGCCAAATTAAAAGAGAAAACCCGAGAGTCAATATGTCTGATTTTTTGCTTTCTAAATGTACTGTTAAATTAAAAAAATGGTTCAAGAGTATCCCAGCAATCGAACAAAAGCGACTCAATGAACAGTCCAATATCAAACAATCCATCACATCTGAAAGGGACCAAAAAGTCATTTTAGAGGAGATAGAAGATTAAATAAGGAAACGTGGTGACAATCATGTAAAAAGTCTTACTGTATCTGGGTCACATATGTGACTTTTCAAAGAAAATTCATCCTCTGTACTTACAGCTCCTCTCATATGTTCAAATACTGCAGTGTCTTACATCTCAAAAAAGCAAAAAAAATTGTTGGGCATATTCTAATTTTAGTATTCTAACAGCGATGAGTCAGAAAAAAAAAAAACTGAATAGGTTTAATTTGCAATTTTCAAGAAGTCAAAGCTTTTACCTTGAAATGTCTGTCTTACAGTGAAATATGTCTGGGGGCAAACCAGGGATGTTTTCCACCATGACCCTGTTTGCTTACCACGCCATTCCACAAGTATAGTTCACACAGAAGTCAAAAGTCTTATTGGATCTAGAATACTCGTTATCTTATTTTAACTGTGTCTGACAAATCCCACGACTTATAATAATGTCTTTAACATCTTTTGAGAGAAAAGTTTTTAAATCAGGCAATCAGTTCAGTGTTTTCAGATGCAACTAGATCCCTGCTGATACTGTGACAATGGGTCTTTTGGGACATTGTTGGGACATTGTTTGCTCTTTAACGGGCCTAAAAATGCTGTTGTCTCTGTTTGGAAGCTCGACCCTGCCAAACAGACCGACTTGAGGAGTGCTTCCTGCCTTCTCATTGTAGCTGAGCCTTCCTGATGACATTAAAAGGTAGATACTTTGTAGATACTGTACATAGATTGAATAATTTCCGAAAATATTCAGACACATTCCTAGGGAAGGGTTGCCCAAAGTCGGTCCTCGAGGGCCGCTGTCCTGCAGGTTCTTATTAAGTGGATCAGTTCAAAGGCTCTGCACAAGTCTTATTATGGCACCCTGGCCAGAATCAGGTGTGTTGAAGCCGGGAAACTTCTAAAAACCTGCAGGACAGCGGGCCTCGAGGGGCGATTTTGGTCACCCCTGACCTAAGGTCATTATACATACTTTTAAAACGCAAAAACCTTAAGAAATAGCATTATTCAAATGTAAAATAACGCTGAAAGAAGCACAGGATACATAATAGAGCAAACCCCCTTTTTGATTAGTTATGGGAACAGTAATCAATACATCTTTATTTTCCCTTTACGATCCACTATCAATATATATATAAATATATACAATTATTAATGGGAATTCAGGAAACTGTTCCCATCAGTATAGGCGCCACTTA